CCTACAAAGTGATTTTCTGGATTTTTTTTCCTCAATTTGTCTGTCATAGTTGACGTGTACCTATGATGAAAATTACAGGCCTCTCTCATCTTTTGAAGTGGGAGAACTTGCACCATTGGTGGCTGACTAAATACTTTTTCCCCCACTGTATGTACGTATGTATGTGGGTATGTATGTGTGTGTATATGTGTATATATATGTATATGTATGTGTATCATTATGATGAGTTACAGGACGAGATCTCTTTATTTAAAAAAATATATATATATACACTGCTCAAAAAAATAAAGGGAACACTTAAACAACACAATGTAACTCCAAGTCAATCACACTTCTGTGAAATCAAACTGTCCACTTAGGAAGCAACACTGATTGACAATAAATGTCACATGCTGTTGTGCAAATGGAATAGACAACAGGTGGAAATTATAGGCAATTAGCAAGACACCCCCCAATAAAGGAGTGGTTCTGCAGGTGGTGACCACAAACCACTTCTCAGTTCCTATGCTTCCTGGCTGATGTTTTGGTCACTTTTGAATGCTGGCGGTGCTTTCACTCTAGTGGTAGCATGAGACGGAGTCTACAACCCTCACAAGTGGCTCAGGTAGTGCAGCTCATCCAGGATGGCACATCAATGCGAGCTGTGGCAAGAAGGTTTGCTGTGTCTGTCAGCGTAGTGTCCAGAGCATGGAGGCGCTACCAGGAGACAGGCCAGTACATCAGGAGATGTGGAGGAGGCCGTAGGAGGGCAACAACCCAGCAGCAGGACTGCAACCTCTGCCTTTGTGCAAGGAGGAGCAGGAGGAGCACTGCCAGAGCCCTGCAAAATGACCTCCAGCAGGCCACAAATGTGCATGTGTCTGCTCAAACGGTCAGAAACAGACTCCATGAGGGTGGTATGAGGGCCCGACGTCCAAAGGTGGGGGTTGTACTTACAGCCCAACACCGTGCAGGACGTTTGGCATTTGCCAGAGAACACCAAGATTGGCAAATTCGCCACTGGCGCCCTGTGCTCTTCACAGATGAAAGCAGGTTCACACTGAGCACATGTGACAGACGTGACAGAGTCTGGAGACGCCGTGGAGAACGTTCTGCTGCCTGCAACATCCTCCAGCATGACCGGTTTGGCGGTGGGTCAGTCATGGTGTGGGGTGGCATTTCTTTGGGGGGCCGCACAGCCCTCCATGTGCTCGCCAGAGGTAGCCTGACTGCCATTAGGTACCGAGATGAGATCCTCAGACCCCTTGTGAGACCATATGCTGGTGCGGTTGGCCCTGGGTTCCTCCTAATGCAAGACAATGCTAGACCTCATGTGGCTGGAGTGTGTCAGCAGTTCCTGCAAGAGGAAGGCATTGATGCTATGGACTGGCCCACCCATTCCCCAGACCTGAATCCAATTGAGGACATCTGGGACATCATGTCTCGCTCCATCCACCAACGCCACGTTGCACCACAGACTGTCCAGGAGTTGGCGGATGCTTTAGTCCAGGTCTGGGAGGAGATCCCTCAGGAGACCATCCGCCACCTCATCAGGAGCATGCCCAGGCGTTGTAGGGAGGTCATACAGGCACGTGGAGGCCACACACACTACTGAGCCTCATTTTGACTTGTTTTAAGGACATTACATCAAAGTTGGATCAGCCTGTAGTGTGGTTTTCCACTTTAATTTTGAGGGTGACTCCAAATCCAGACCTCCATGGGTTGATAAATTTGATTTCCATTGATAATTTTTGTGTGATTTTGTTGTCAGCACATTCAACTATGTAAAGAAAAAACTTTTTAATAAGATTATTTCATTCATTCAGATCTAGGATGTGTTATTTTAGTGTTTAAAACATATGGGGGATTGGAAGTGATGCAGACAATTACATTGATGGAATGTACAATCTGCAATATTAAAGCTGATTTACCCCCTAAAAAAAAATAATCCACCTGATTTGATCTAACCCAGGCCTGGGCTGTGGTGTGGTATAGGGTAGTAAAGACTGTATTGTGTCGTGTCTGGTTGGGGCATCAGTTGCTGTTTCATTTCCTGTTAAAGGCCTCTGCCATGGGAGATGAAAAAAGGAAGTGAGATGGCAGGACTTCCTGTTTCAGAACTGATCAGATGTGATACCCCTGTGTGCCTGTTGCTGTGGAAGTGTGTTTTCTTCTTTGTGGTGTGAGGTGTGCTGCGGAGTGTGTTGGGTTTCCGGTGAACGATGGTTGTGTAGGTTAAACAGAATCTGCAGTCAGTAGTAGTAGATGTTGTAGTGTGCTGCGGAGTGTGTTGGGTTTCCAGGGTTAAACAGAATCTGCAGTCAGTAGTAGTAGATGTTGTAGTGTGCTGCGGAGTGTGTTGGGTTTCCAGGGTTAAACAGAATCTGCAGTCAGTAGTAGTAGATGTTGTAGTGTGCTGCGGAGTGTGTTGGGTTTCCAGGGTTAAACAGAATCTGCAGTCAGTAGTAGTAGATGTTGTAGTGTGCTGCGGAGTGTGTTGGGTTTCCAGGGTTAAACAGAATCTGCAGTCAGTAGTAGTAGATGTTGTAGTGTGCTGCGGTTAGTGTGATTGGTTCCAGGGTTAAACAGAATCTGCAGTCAGTAGTAGTAGATGTTTGTAGTGTGCTGCGGAGTGTGTGGGGTTTCCAGGGTTAAACAGAATCTGCAGTCAGTAGTAGTAGTAGTGTTGATCGAGTGGTTGGTTCCAGTGGTTGGTTTCCAGGTTAAACAGAATCTGCAGTCAGTAGTAGTGAAGATGACTGGGTCCCCTGTCTGTAGGTGGCATGTGCTTAGTAAAACTAGAATACCCTAGTAAATACCCTAGAAAACCCTAAAATACCTCTCTCTCTCTCTCTCTCTCTCTCTTATCTCTCTCTTCTTATTATTATGTTTATATCTTGTCTCTGTATTCTGTCTCTCTCTCTCTGTATCTGTTCTCTTCTTCTATTGTCTCTGTCTCTGGTCTCTGTCTCGCTCTGTCTCTGTCTCTGTCGCTCTTCTCTCTCGTCTCTTATCTCTCTCTCTGCTCTCTTGCTCTCTATATCTCTCTCTGTCTGCTCGATCTTCTCTTCTCTCTCTCTCTCCTTCTCTCTGTTATCTCTCTCTCTCTCTTCTCTCTCTCCTTTTCTTCTTCTCTCTCTTCTCTTGCCTCCTCTCATGCTCGTCTCTTCCTCTCTGTCTTTCTCTGGTTCCTCTGGTGATGGCCGGCTTGTTATATTTCTTTTCCTTGTATCTAACTTACTCTTTACCCCGGTCTCTCTGTTCTTCTTCTTCTCTTTGGTGATCAGAGTTGACAGGGGGGGAAACAGTCTGTGGGTCTCAGCTGGTTTAAAGGTCCTGTACATGATTCACCGTTTCAACTGTTCACCGGGTTCCGGTGTTACATTAACTACTCTTTTCCGGTTGGTAACATAACTAACGGTTTTTCGGTTGTTAAATTGCTTACCTGTGTTCCAGGTGCTATGGAACTTAACTGTGGTGTTTCCCGGGGTTTCTATGAAATAACTTGTGGTGTTCCAGGGTTGTACTATGAACTAACTGTGGTGTTCCAGGTGTACTATGAACTAACTCTGTGGTGTTCCAGGTGTACTATGAACTAACTCTGTGGTGTTCCAGGTGTACTATGAACTAACTCGGTGGTGTTCCAGGTGTACTATGAACTAACTCTGTGGTGTTCCAGGTGTACTATGAACTAACTCTGTGGTGTTTCCCGGTGTACTAGAACTACTCTGGTGTTCCAGGTGTTACTATGAACTAAACTCTGGTGTTCCAGGTGTACTATGAACTAACTCTGTGGTGTTCCAGGTGTACTATGAACTAACTCTGTGGTGTTCCAGGTGTACTATGAACTAACTCTGTGGTGTTCCAGGTGTACTATGAACTAACTCTGTGGTGTTCCAGGTGTACTATGAACTAACTCTGTGGTGTTCCAGGTTATACTATGAACTACTCTGTGGTGTTCCAGGTGTACTATGAACTAACTGTGTGGTGTTCCAGGTATACTATGAACTAACTCTGTGGTGTTCCAGGTGTACTATGAACTAACTCGGTGGTGTTCCAGGTCTACTATGAACTAACTCTGTGGTGTTCCCCAGGTGTACTATGAACTAACTCTGTGGTGTTCCAGGTGTACTATGAACTAACTCTGTGGTGTTCCAGGTCTACTATGAACTAACTCTGTGGTGTTCCAGGTGTACTATGAACTAACTCTGTGGTGTTCCAGGTGCTACTATGAACTAACTCTGTGGTGTTCCAGGTTACTATGAACTAACTCGGGTGGTGTTCCAGGTCTACTATGAACAAAACTCTGTGGTGTTCCAGGTGTATTTGAACTAACTCTGTGGTGTTCAGGTGTACATGAACTAACTCGGTGGTGTTCCAGGTTACTATGAACTAACTCTGTGGTGTTCCAGGTGTACTATGAACTAACTCGGTGGTGTTCCAGGTGTACTATGAACTAACTCTGTGGTGTTCCAGGTGTACTATGAACTAACTCTGTGGTGTTCCAGGTGTACTATGAACTAACTCTGTGGTGTTCCAGGTGTACTATGAATAACTCTGGTGTGTTCCGGTGTACTATGAACTAACTCGGTGGGTTTTCCCAGGTGTACTATGAACTAACTTGTGGTGTTCCAGGTGTACTATGAACTAACTCGTGGTTTTCCAGGTTGTACTATGAACTAACTCTGTGGTGTTCCAGGTGTACTATGAACTAACTCTGTTTTGGTGTCTAGTCTCTGGGTGTCCGGTGTACTATGAACTAACTCTGTGGTGTTCCAGGTCTACTATGAGCCCATGCTGAAGTTGGACATCATGACTGAGAGTGAACTGGGACAGATCTTTGGTACTCTGGACTCTCTCATACCCCTCCATGAAGGTAACACGCAAACACACACACATATATACACCCACACACACACACACATATATACACATACACACAGGCCACAATCCTCCTCTTCAAGGTCTCTTTTTAGATATCTCATTTCTTGTCTGTATTCAGATGCAGTATATTTATCTTGATGGTTCTGTTTGTTTGGTCTGGTCTGATTGTAGATCTCTTGGCTCGGCTGGAACGCCTGAGAGGATCAGAGAAGACTGTTGGGGCGATAGGACAAACACTCTTCAACTGGGTGAGAAACCATCACCATGGAAACCGAGGACTGGAAGAGAAGAGAGGGAGAAGTGAATGCACTTGTAAACCATGTCTATCTATCCCTTCTAATCATTCCTCTCCTTCTCTCTCATCTCTGCATGCATCTCGCGCAGACGCTGATGCGACTACTCCTTCTCGTATCTATCTCTCTTTCTCTCTCCCTTTCTATCTCTCTTCTCTCTCCTATTCACTCTCTCTATCCCTCTCCTCTCTCTCCTCTCTTTTCTTCTCTTCCCCTCTTCTCTCTCTCTCCTCTCTCTCTCTCTCTCCTCTTTCATTCTAGTTCCCCTGTCTAGGGGCGTATGTGACATATTGCTGTAACCAGGTGGAGGCTAAGGTGAGTGTTTCCTCTCAACTTTCTTCCTAGGTAGGGAGTTTCTCCCCATCGCTGTCATCATATTAGGTTTGCTGTTTATTGACTGATTGATTGCTACATTGATTTATTGATTGACTGACGGACTGATTGGCTAATAGATTGATTTGTCTTTTGCTTAAACTATTGATTGGTTCATTGATTGGTCCAGGCCCTGTTGGACCAGAAGCAGAAGCAGCGTGTTTGATTGGTTGATTTGATTGGTTAATTTGATGAGTGGTTAATTGATGCACTGATTGAAGGTTTATTGATTGGTCATTAAGGCCATGTTGGACATGAAGAAACAGGATAAGCGTTTGATTGACTGATTGATTGATTGAATGATTGTTGATTGGTTAATTGATTGTATTGACTAAGGCCCTGTTGGACATGAAGAAGCAGCAGAAGCGAGTGGAGCAATTCCTTCGTCTGTGCCAGGAGTCGTCTTTTAGCAGGAAGTTGGACCTCTGGAACTTCCTGGACCTCCCTCGCAGCCGATTGGTCAAATACCCGCTATTGCTACGGGAGATTCTGAAGAGCACGCCCCCAGATCACCCCGACGAAGACACACTGCCTGACGCTGTGAGGACACACACACACACATTGATTGGTTGTTTCATTCATTAATTTATTGGCTGATTGATCGGTCCGGTCGCCTGATTGATTAGTTGATTCACATACACACACACACCTCACTCCCCCCCCAGTTGGAGTTGGTCCAGTCCGTCGTATCAGATATGTTATCCCCCCCCCCCAGTTGGAGTTGGTCCAGTCCATCGTATCAGAGGTGGACAGAAAGACCGGGGAGGCGGAGTGTCAGTTCTATAGGCGGGGCTTGGCTTACCTGGAGGAGGGCCAACGGCTCCCTGAGATCCAGCTGTCACGATTCCTCTACTGCCACGGAGAACTGAAGAACAACAAGGGACAGGTACTGTCTGTCTGTCTGTCTGTCTGTCTGTCTGTCTGTCTGTCTGTCTGTCTGTCTGTCTGTCCCTCGTAAGCTCTACTACACAAGCTTCCAACTTACCTCACTTCATTATTGAAGTATAAAAAGACGAGTTACCCGTTCACAGGGTTGGTTAACTCTTACGGTTCCTCGGGTCTCCACCAATCACAGGGTTGGTTAACTCTTACGGTTCCTCGGGTCTCCACCAATCACAGGGTTGGTTAACTCTTACGGTTCCTCGGGTCTCCACCAATCACAGGGTTGGTTAACTCTTACGGTTCCTCGGGTCTCCACCAATCACAGGGTTGGTTAACTCTTACGGTTCCTCTGGTCTCCACCAATCACAGGGTTGGTTAACTCTTACGGTTCCTCGGGTCTCCACCAATCACAGGGTTGGTTAACTCTTGCGGTTCCTCGGGTCTCCACCGAATTAGGTAAATTCGCCTTCAGTTTTAATGTCCCCCGTTTTTGGAATAACCTGCAGAACTCCGTCTTGATTCCCTGGGCAATAAAGGAGTCTAATGTTAAATTCGTTAAATGAGATTTGCATTATTTTTTTTTGTAACAGGGGAACCCATTGAGACCAGGGTCTCATTTTCAATTTCAAGACAACAAATTCAACACGAACATACCAATACAAAATGTATCAAAACTACAGGTTACAATTTCAAAAACTACTATTTCAACATCAGTGGTGAGCATATGTGGTATTGAAATTGTAGTTTTTGAAATTGTAACCTGTAGTTTTGATACATTTTGTATTGGTATGTTCGTGTTGAATTTGTTGTCTTGAAATTGAAAATGAGACCCTGGTCTCAATGGGTTCCCCTGATTTAAACATTTTTTTGTTACAAAAACAAAAACAAATGTTAGGTGGCTTGGAGCCAGTGTTGTGTTTCTGAGGTAACTACTTTATACAGTGCCTTCAGAAAGTATTCAGACCCCTTGACTTTTTCCACATTTTGTTACGTTACAGCCTTATTCTAAAATTGATTAAATTAATTGTTTTCCTCATCAATCTATAATATAATAATAATAATAATAATATGCCATTTAGCAGACACTTTTATCCAAAGCGACTTACAGTCATGTGTGCATACATTTTTACGTATGGGTGGTCCCAGGGATCGAACCCACTACCCTGGCGTTACAAGCGCCGTGCTCTACAGAGGACCACAAAACCCCATAATGACAAAGCGAAAACAGCAATTTCTAAAAACCAGTTTTGCTTTGTCATTATGGTGTATTGTGTGTGTATATACACTACCAGTCAAAAGTTTGGACACACCTACTCATTCAAGGGTTTTTCTTTATTTTTACTATTTTCTACATTGTAGAATAATAGTGAAGACATCAAAACTATGAAATAACACATATGGAATCATGTAGTAACCAAAAGAGTGTTAAACAAATCAAAATATATTTTATATTTGAGATTCTTCAAATAGCCACCCTTTGCCTTGATGACAGCTTTGCACACTCTTGGCACCTGGAATGCATTTCAATTAACAGGTGTGCCTTCTTTAAAGCCAATCAGTTGTGTTGTGACAAGGTAGGGGGGGTATACAGAAGATAGCCCTATTTGATGTCCATATTATGGCAAGAACAGCTCAAATAAGCAAAGAGAAACGACAGTCCATCATTACTTTAAGACATGAAGGTCAGTCAATACGGAAAATGTCAAGAACTTTGAAAGTTTCTTCAAGTGCAGTCGCAAAAACCATCAAGCGCTAAGATGAAACTGGCTCTCATGAGGACCGCCACAGGAATGGAAGACCCAGAGTTACCTCTGCTGCAGAGGATAAGTTCATTAGAGTTACCAGCCTCAGAAATTGCAGCCCAAATAAATGCTTCAGAGTTCAAGTAACAGACACATCTTAACATCAACTGTTCAGAGGAGACTGCGTGAATCAGGCCTTCATGGTCAAATTGCTGCAAAGAAACCACTACTAAAGGACACCAATAAGAAGAAGAGACTTGCTTGGGCCAAGAAACACGAGCAATGGACATTAGACCCGTGGAAATTTGTCCAAATTTGAGATTTTGGGTTCCAACCACCGTGACTTTGTGAGAACGGGTGAACGGATGATCTCCGCATGTGTGGTTCCCACCGTAAAGCATTGAGGAGGAGGTGTTATGGTGTGGAGGTGCTTTGCTGGTGACACTCTGTGATTTATTTAGAATTCAAGGCACACTTAACCAGCATGGCTACCACAGCATTCTGCAGCGATACGCCATCCCATCTGGTTTGGGCTTAGTGGGACTATCATTTGTTTTTCAACAGGACAATGACCCAACACACCTCCAGGCTGTGTAAAGGCTATTTTACCAAGAAGGAGAGTGATGGAGTGCTGCATCACTTGACCTGGCCTCCACAATCCCCGACCTCAACCCAATTGAGGTGATTTGGGATGAGTCGGACCGCAGAGTGAAGGAAAAGCAGCCAACAAGTGCTCAGCATATGTGGGAACTCCTTCAAGACTGTTGGAAAAGCATTCCAGGTGAAGCTGGTTGAGAGAATGCCAAGAGTGTGCAAAGCTGTCATCAAGGCAAAGGGTGGCTATTTGAAGAATCTCAAATATAAAAATATATTTTGATTTGTTTAATACTTTATTGGTTACTACATGATTCCATTTGTGTTATTTCATAGTTTGGATGTCTTCAATATTATTCTACAATGTAGAAAATAGTAAAAATAAAGAAAAACCCTTGAATGAGTAGGTGTGTCCAAACTTTTGACTGGTACTGTATGTCCTCCTGTAGAATCTCCATGTGTTCCTGTTTGAGCTGTGTTGTATATCATTCATGTAATAAAGTATAGTCTCTTCCTGTCTGTAGAAGCTCCATGTGTTCCTGTTTGAGCTGTGTCTGGTTCTGACGCGCTCGGTGGAGGACAGAGAAGGGGGCGTGGTCTTTCAGGTGTACCGCCAGCCCCTCCCCACCACCACGCTCCACCTAGAAGAGCTACCTGACGGGGAGGGCGGCGGGGGGGGAAAGGGGGGGGCCTTTTTTCAGGGGGGCCCCCCCCAAACCCCGCCCAAAAGGGTATGGAGGGGAGGGGGGGGGAAAGGGGGGCGGTTTTTAAAAGGGGAAAAAAAATTAGGGAAGGGTGATTTTTTAAATTTTTTTTAAAAAAATATTATTAATTTAAATTAAAAAATTAAAAAACGGGTTTTGGAAACCAGATGATGACTCTTTTTCCCAAAAAAATTGGGGGGCCCTTTCGGGGGGGGGGGGAAGGAAGGGAAACCCGCTCCCCGGGTTGGGGGGGGGGGGGCGCGGGGGGAAAAGGAGCCGGGGCCCAGGAGGCGCTACCTTGAAGGGAAAGGGGGAAAAAAAAAGGGGGAGGGGAAAAAAGGGCGACCAAAGGAGGAGAAAAAAGGGAGAGGAGAGGAAAGGAGAGGCAAGGCGCAAAAGGGGGCGGGAAGGAGGGGGGCCCAAAAAGGGGGCGAAGAGGAAAAAGGGGGGAAAGAGCTGCCCTCGCGCCCCCCCAACCAAGGGGCCCCTCGGGGCCGGGGGCGGAACGGCGCTCGGCGGGAGGGGGCGACCGGGGGCCGGACCGAGGGGCGCGTTTCCGACCGGGGGCCCAAAACCCGGCCCCGACGCGAGGGGGGAGGCCCCGGCCCCAAAAGGAGGGGGCCCGGGGCGGGGGCCGGGGGGGAAAAAGGGGAGAGGAGGGGGGAAAGAGGGGGGGCCCGGGCGCGGGGGGCAAAAAAGGAGGGGGAAAAAAGGAGGGGCAAAAAGGGGGGGCGGGGCGAGGCCCCAAAAAGGGAGGGGGGTGGAGGGGGGAAGGGGGGGAGGGAAAGAAAAAGGGGGGAGGCCCCCAAGGAGAGAGGGGAAGGGGGAGGGAAGGGGGAGGAAAAAAAAGGGAAGAGGGGTGAGAGAGGGGAAAAGGGGAGGGCGCGAGAGGGGGAAGGGGGGAGAAAAAAGGCAAAAGGAGGGTGAACAAAGAGAGGGAAAAGAGGGGGGAAAAAAAGGGGAAAAATTTTCCCTCTCTCTCTTTTTCCCCAATTCTTCTCCTTTCTTCTCCCCTTTCTCCCCTTCTTGCTTTGTTATGTTTTTTTCCCCAATTTTTCTCTTTTCTTTTCCTCTCTCTCTTTTTTCCCCATTATTTTCTTTGTTTTCTGCCCGGGTTCTTTTTTCCCCTTCCCTCCCGTTGGTTGTCAGTGCGAAAAATGTTTCAGGGGGGTCCAGTGGGGGGGCGTTTAAAGGCCCCCTTTCCCAAAAGTCTCCAGGCCAAGGACTCTTTCAAAAAAAGGGCAGAAAGTGGTTTCCCCTGCCTGCCCCAAAGGCCCCAAGGGGGTTAAAAATCACAAAAAGCCCGGGGGACGCCCGGGTTTCACCCCAAATCCCGTGTGCCCCGGGCCCCTTTTCCCCCCAGACCTCGCCCTTCCCACATCCCCGGGCTGAGTCTGGCTCGGGGACCCCGAGATGGAGCCCCGGGCCCGGGCCCAATGCCCGGCAGAGGCCCCAAGGTTAAACGGGGGAAGGGGCCTGCCAATAAACTAAAAAGACTGTTTCCAACTAATTGTTTTCCCCAATTTGTCCCTTGAGGTATTTAAAAGGGGGGGGGGGTTGCGTTTTAAAAAACATGAAGGATTTGTACGCTGGTCAGTACAGTTTATAAGGGGGGGGGAAAAGGGGGTGGGGGGTGTTGTTAAAAATTTTAAATTGGTTCGAAATGAAAGGTTGCCTTCTGCCTGGGGGGGCCGGCTTGTTTGTGCGTTTGTCAACTTTTTATGGAATGGGTCTTTTCCCAAAAAGATGCCCAATGGGGTAGCGGGAAAGGCACAGACAATCGGGGGGAACCAGGCAAAACATGTTTTGGGGTTTGAGGTTTTTTAAAAATTTCCCCAAAAGGGTTTTCAATCTTTTCAGGAAAAAACCTTCTAGAATATTTTTGGTAAAAAATGTATTCTTTGTTTTTTAAAATATGTTTTTTCTAGGGAGCGGCCTTTGTGCCATATAGGGTTTAAAGTGAAATTTGGGAAAACCCTGCGATGTTAGCTGTAATTTTACGGGATCACATTAAAAAAACCTTGTACGGGATTAAAGGGTTTTTTAAATAAAAAGTAAATTTTGATGAGGGGAACGTGGGTTTTTTTAATTTTTTTTTATTTTATTGTTGAAAATTTAAACAAAAAAAAACCTTAAAGTCTCTTCCTCTTTTTGTCTTTCCCTTCCTTTTTAGTTTTTAAAGTCTTTGTCCCTTCCGTCTTAGTTTTTCCTCTCTTAGTTCTTTCTTTTTAGTTTTCCTCCTTAGTTCCCCCTTTTTAAAGGGCTTTTTCCTCCCCTTAAAGTTTTTCCATTTCTTGGGCTCTTTCTTTAGTCTTTACTCTTTTAGTCTTCCTCTTTGTCTCTTCTTTCTTAGTCTTTTCCTTTTAGTTTTTCCCTCTCTAAAGTCTTTCCTTTTTTAAGTCTTTCCCTCTTTAGTCTTTTCCTTTTTAGCCCTTTTTCCCTTTTTTGTCTCCCTCTTTAGCCCCCCTTATTTATTTCCCCGGGGTTCCTTCCTCCTTCATTTTAGTTTTCCTCTTTTATTTTTCCTTTTTAGTCTTTTCCTTTTTGTTATTTTCTTTGTCTTTTCCCTATTAGTCTTTTCCCTCTCTTATTTCTTAGTCTTTTGTTTCCCTTAGTCTTTTGCCTTTTATTTCCCTTTCCTCTTTTTAAATTTTCTCTTCTTCTATTTTCCCCTTCTTTTTTAGTTTTTCCCCTCTCTTCCTTCTTAGTCTTTCCCCCTTTTTAGTCTCTTCCTTTCTTAGTTTTTCCTTTTCCTTCTTATTTCCCCTTCCCCTTTAGTCTCTTTTCTTAGTCTTTCCCTTTTTTTTCTTTTCCCTTTTCACAAAAGTCTCTTCATTTTTAGCTTTTTCCCCTTTGGGGTCTTTTCCCCCTCTTAGTCCTTCCTCTTGGGTCTTTTCCTCTCTAAGTTTTCCCCCTAAGTTTTTTTTAGCTTTTCCCTCTCTAAGCTTTCCTCTTTAGTTCTTTCCCCTCTTAGTTTTTCCCCCTTTGGTCTTTTAGTTTCTTATCTTTCCTTCTTAGTCTTTCCTTTTTGTTTTTAAAGTCTTTAGTTCTTTCCCTTTTTTTAGTCTTTTTTCCCCTTTAGTTTTTCCTCCCCTTGTTTTGGGTCTCTTAGTTCTTCCCTCTTTGGGTTTTCCCTTTGCCTTAGTTCTTCCTCTTTTAAAGTCTTTTCCCTCTTAGCTTTCTCTAAGTCTTTTTCCTCTCTTAGTTTTTTCCCCCCTTAAAGTCCTTCCTCAAGCTTCCTCTTTTTAGTCCTCCTCTTAAGTCTTTTCCCTTCTTGGGCCCTTTCCCCCTCTTAGTTCTTCTCTTTTAAAAGGTTCTTTTCCTTCAAAAATTTCCTCTTCCTTTTAGTTTTTCCCCCTCTTAGCCCTTTACCCTTTAGTCTTTTTCCCCTCTTTGGGTCTTTTTCCCTCTTAGTCTCCCCTTTAGTTTTTTTCCCCCTTCTTAGTTCTTTCCTTTTCTTAGTCCCTTCCCTTTAGTCTCTTCCCTTTTCCCACACACAGCTATGGGGAACCCCAAATTTTTCCCCTTTTCGGGTTTCCTCCCGAAAGGGTTAGGGACAAAAAAAAAACAGTACTTTTTTAGACGGCAAAACCCAGGAGAAAAAAGATTAGGGAGGGATTACCTCACATCTTTTCCCCCCCCCCCTAAACCCTTCTTCTCCCTCTTCACCTTTTCCCCCCTCAAACAAGCCCCAAAAAACGGTATTTTATTTGCCCAGTAGTAAGTTGTGCACTTTTCCCTGAATTTTTATTAGCTTTGCAATTTTTAAAACCCAAAAATCAGGAACCCCTTTGGGGGTTAGCTCATCCAGTTTATTGACTCTTGCCCCAATGGATACCCCTGCTTTTTCCCCGTCGGGGACAGAGGGCTTAAAATTTTTCCCTAAAAAAGTTTTAAAAGGACTATAAAGCTTGGGGACGGTTACTAAAAAAGCTTAAAATTTTAAATTTTAAAGCTTAGACTGTACTTTAAAAGCTTGGGATTTTTAAATAAAAAAGCTTGGGCCCTTTTAACATATAAAGTTTAGATTTTTCATAAAAAGCTTGGGATTTTACATATAAAAGTTGGGAGGGTTTAAATATAACTTTTTGGGAACGGGTTACATTAAAGTTTAAGGACTTTTACATTAAAAGTTTAGACTGTTACATAAAAGCTTAGACTGTTACTTTTAAAAAGGGTTTTTAAGGCTTTTAAACATAAAAAGGGCTTAGGAGTTACAAAATTAAAGGCTTGGGACTGTTCCCATAAAAAGTTTGGGATTAAACAATAAAGCTTAGACTTTTACATTAAAGCTTGGGACGGTTAAACTTTAAAAAAAGCTTAGCCTTTTTACATAAAAAGGGTTAAAGGATTTTAAACAAAATTAAAGGGTTTTGATTTTACATATTAAAGCTTGGGGAATTGTCCCATTAAAGTTGGGGACGGTTATTTTAAAAAAGCTTAAAATGTTAAAAAATAAAAGTTTTAAAACTTTTACATTTTAAAGGGTTTTAGATTTGTTACATTATTAAAGCTTGGGACTGTTAATATAAGCTTGGGACTGTTCCCTTTTAAAGCTTAGCGGGAATAAAAAGTTAGACTGTTCCCATAAAAAGGGGCTTAGGATTGTTACATTTTAAAGGGCTTGGGGAACTGTTACTTTAAAAAGGGTTGGGGACTTTTAATTTTAAAGCTTAGACTGTTACATATAAAGCTTGGGATTTTACTTTAAAAAGGTTTAAAGGATGTTCCCCATTAAAGTTTTAAAATGTTAATAAAAAAGTTTTGGGACTGTTCCATATAAAGCTTAGAGTTACATTTTTAAGCTTAAGGACTTTTACATTAAAGTTTAGATGTTACATATAAAGCTTAGACTGTTACATATAAAGCTTAGACTGTTAAATTTTAAGTTAGCCCTTTACTTTAAAAAAGCTTAAAAATGAAACTTTTAAAGCTTAGACTTTTAAACATTTTAAAGTTTTGAGGTTACATAAAAGTTTTAGACTGTTACATTTTAAAGCTTAAATTTTTAAATAAAGCTTGGACTGTTACATAAAAGCTAGACGGTTACAAAAAAAAAGGTTTAGACTTTTAATTAAAAAGTTTTGGGATTGTTACATATAAAAGGCTTAGACTGTTAAATATAAAGTTTAAAGACTTTTAACATAAAAAGGGCTTAGACTGTTACATAAAAAGGGCTTGGGAAATTTTTAATATAAAGCTTGGGATTTTTAAATTTAAAAAGGGCTTGACTGTTACATTTTAAAAAGGAATTTTACATAAAAAGGGGTTTTAGACGGGTTAAATTTTAAAAAAGTTTTAGACGGGTTCATATAAAGCTTAAAATTTTAAATAAAAAAGTTTTGGGACTGTTCCCATAAAAGTTTTGGGAACTTTAAAATTAAACCCTTAGACTGTTAAAAAAAAAGCTTAGATGTTCCCTAAAAAAGTTTAAAAATGAAAATTTAAAAAGTTTAAGCCCTTTTAAATAAAAAGGGCTTAGATTTTCCCAAAATTTAAAGTTTGGGAACTTTTTACATATAAAGCTTGGGGATTTTTACATAAAAAAAGCTTGGGACTTTTACATAAAAGCTTGGGGACTTTTAAAATTTTTAAAGTTTTTAAGACTGTTACTTTAAAAAAAGCTTAGACTGTTACATAAAAAAGGGTTTTTGGGGACTTTTCATAAAAGGGCGAACCCTGATGTAAAATTTTTTAAAAAATTGTGGCAAAAAAAAAGGGGGGGGTGATATTTTTTTAGATTTCTTTTTAAAGGGAATCATGCTCTTTTTAGCATCCTGCCCAAAAAAAAAATTTTTTTGGGGAGCTGTTGGTTTTTAAAATTTGTCCAAAAAACCCAAAAAAGCATATATGGTATTGGTTGGTTTTAACCCCCCCCCCAGACGTTTTGGTGGGAGGCTTTTTCATTATTTCTGATTTTTTTAAAACCCTTTCTGGTATCGAAACTGGTTGTGTTAGGAGATCTGAATCTTGATTGGTTAACACACACCTCAGATCAGTTTAAGAATATCTGTCTTGAGTTCAGCTTGGCTCTGCTGATGATGAAACCCACTCAGATGAATGTAGAACAACCCAAGCAAATCCTCATTGATTGACCCTTTCCTGACTCACTCGTCCCCATAAGTATTTGGCTAGTGGTGTGTTTTTTTCAAAATGATATCAGCGACACCTGCCATATGGTCCATTAGAGA